CAGAACAAACAATGTGTCTATTTCCCTTTGAAATCTCTGTAACTGCTTATATCTGCATCTCTATGTACTTTTGATTGTCATTGTTTACTACATTTTCTAAAAATATCTTGTAATAAAAATTTCCAATTCCTTGAAGTAAGTCTTCCTTGGGTACTCTAGCACCGAAAACATGAAACACTTATAAGAGGGGTACACAAAGCCCGCAGTCTAGACTACCAGTTGTCCGACTTCCATTATTGTGGAAGTCGCGGTAGCTGAGTGGGTTAGGTGGCTGACTTTGTGTGCTGGCGATTAGGTGCCTGACTCTGAGGGGGCGAGTTCGAATCCCGGATGGGGCTCAACCAAAAAAAGTACTAGAATTTGTACTTTACTAAGAAAGTGTTATCCCAAATACAACATATGTTACATGTCTAATGGTCGTGCAAAAAAAATTTAATCCCTACTAGTTGCTTTTACTAGTCAACGAGAGAATTTCGAGATCTAGCCGACAGTCTGGATTGCAACATTTTGGCAAGGCATATCCAAAGGAAAATCAACATCTTTGCAGATGCTTTATCATGACAAGACAAGGTCCTATAGACAGATGGAGGCTTCATTCAGAAGCCTTCATGCCAAAAACGGTGAAATGGGAACAACCTCATATAAATCTGTTCACAAAATCCCTGAACAATCAATTGCAGAAATATATCAGCCAAGTTCAAGATCTGCAAGCTTATGCAGTGGATGCAATGTCGACATATTAACATGATGTCATGTTTTAAAAGGTCAGTGTGCAACAGTTGTGATGATGTCATTGTGTGCAGCGGCTTTACGCATGACGTAGGAAGTGATGACTTCAGGAAGTTTATGGCGCTCTTGGACGTCTACAGCAAGCTGACAGGATCTTTCTTCTGGGAGGACATATTCCCTCCTCTGATGTGTCTACCGATGCGCATATAATATGTGCTGGTATCATGAAGCAAGGTATCAACACAGCGTTCTCGGGGAAGTCTTAACCTGCGTCAGCAAAGGGAACTGTCCTTCTGAGGTTCATTCCTGATGTTATGTTTGCTAAAGAATGGACTTTGTATTTCGCCTATATAGACGATATATTTATTGTGGGGAAGCAACCCTGTGAAGTGCTTTACTGACGTTATCCTTATTGTGGGACTTTGTGTCGAGCCCATATCCTTTTACTACGTACTTGGAGTGGCCATTCGTTGCAGCTGCTGCTAAATATAGCTGACTTCCAACCCTCATGTCACAGATCAGTACCACAATACCATAACCAGTACCACACCTGTACAATACCATGACAGTACCACACCAGTACAATACTATGACCAGTACCACACCTGTACAATACCATGACCAGTACCACACCTGTACAATACCATGACAGTACCACACCTGTACAATACCATGACCAGTGCCACACCTGTACAATACCATGACAGTACCACGTCAGTAAAATACCATGACAGTACCATACCGGGAAAATACCATGACCATTACCACACCTGTATAATACCATGACATGTACCACACCAGTACAATACCATGACCATTACCACACCTGTACAATACCATAACCAGTACCACACCTGTACAATACCATGACCAGTACCACACACGTACAATGGCATGACCAGTACCACACCTGTGAAATACCATGACCAGTACCACACCTGTACATTACAATAACCAGTACCACACCTGTACAAAACCATAACCAGTACCACACCAGTACAATAGCATGACAGTACCATACCAGAATAATACCATGAACAGTACCACACCTGTAAAATATAATGACCAGTACCACACCTGTACAATACCATAACCAGTACCACACCTCTACAATACCATGACCAGTACCACACCTGTACAATACCATGACCACTGCCACACCTGTACAATACCATGACAGTACCACACCAGTACAATACTATGACAGTACCAACACCTGCACAATATCATGACAGTACCACAACTGTACAATACCATAACCAGTACAACACCTGTACAATACCATGACAGTACCACACCTGTACAATACCATGACCAGTACCACACCTGTACAATACCATGGCCAGTACCACACCTGTACAATACCATATCCAGTACCCCACTAGTACAATACCATGACAGTACCAAAACCTGTACAATACCATTACCAGTACCACACCTGTACAATATCATGACAGTACCACATCTGTACAATACCATGACCAGTACCACACCAGTACAATACCATGACCAGTGCCACACCTGTACAATACCATGACAGAACCACGTCAGTAAAATACCATGACAGTACCATACCGGAATAATACCATGACGGTATATTTATTGTGGGACTTTTTGTCGAACCCATATTCTTTTACTGCATACTTGGAGTGGCCATACGTTGCAGATGCTGCTAAACATAGCTGACTTCTAACCCTAATGGCCAGTACCACACCTGTACAATACCATTACCAGTACCACACCTGTACAATACCATGACCAGTACCACATCTGTACAATACCATAACCAGTACCACACCTGTACAATACCATAACCAGTACCACACCTGTACAACACCATGACCAGTACCACACATGTACAATACCATGACCATTGCCACACCTGTACAATACCATGACCAGTACAACACCTGTACAATACCATGACCAGTACCACACCTGTACAATACCATGACCAGTACCACACCTGTACAATACCATAAACAGTACCACACCTGTACAATAACATGACCAGTACCACACCTGTACAATACCATGACCAGTACCACACCTGTACAATGGCATGACCAGTACCACACCTGTACAATACCAGTACCACACCTGTACAACACCATGACCAGTACCACACCTGTACAATGGCATGACCAGTACCACACCTGTACAATACCATGACCAGTACCACACCTGTACAATACCATGACCAGTACCACACCTGTACAATACCATGACCAGTACCACACCTGTACAACACCATGACCAGTACCACACACGTACAATGGCATGACCAGTACCACACCTGTGCAATACCATTACCAGTACCACACCTGTACAATACCATGACCAATACCACACCTGTACAATGCCATGACCAGTACCACACCTGTACAATACCATGACCAGTACCACACCTGTACAATACCATGACCAGTACCACACCTGTACAATACCATGACCAGTACCACACCTGTACAATACCATGACCAGTACAACGCCTGTACAATACCATGACCAGTACCACACCTGTACAATACCATGACCAGTACCACACCTGTACAATACCATGACCAGTACCACACCAGTACAATACCATGACCAGTACCACACCTGTACAATGCCATGACCAGTACCACACCTGTACAATACCATGACCAGTACCACACCTGTACAATACCATGACCAGTACCACACCTGTACATTACCATAACCAGTACCACGCCTGTACAGTACCATGACCAGTACCACACCTGTACAATACCATTACCAGTACCACACCTGTACAATACCATGACCAGTACCACACCTGTACAGTACCATGACCAGTACCACACCTGTACAATACCATGACCAGTACCACACCTGTACAATACCATGACTAGTACCACACCTGTACAATACCATAACCAGTACCACACCTGTACAATACCATGACAGTGCCACACCAGTATAATACCATGACAGTTCCACACCATTACAATAGCATGACAGTACCATACCAGTACAATATCATGAGCAGTACCACACCTGTACAATACCATGACCAGTACCACACCTGTACAATACCATGACAGTACCATACCAATACAATACCATGACCAGTACCACACCTGTACAATACCATGATCAGTACCACACCACCACATTATCGTGACCTGTAAAACAACAGTACGATACCGTGACAGTACCACACCAGTACAATACCATGACAGTACCACACCTGTACAATTCCATGAAAGCACTAGGCTAGTACAATACCATGACAGTACCACACATGTACAATACCATGACAGTACCACACCATTACAATTCCATTAAAGCACCGCGCCAGTACAATACCATGACAGTACCACACCTGTACAATTCCATGACAGTACCACACCAGTACAATTCCATGAAAGCACCACACCTGTATAATACCATGAAAGCACCACACCTGTATAATACCATGACAGCACCACACCAGTACAATACTATGACAGTACCACACCAGTACAATTCCATGAAAGCACCACACCTGTATAATACCATGACAGCACCACACCAGTACAATACTATGACAGTACCACACCAGTACAATACCATGACCAGTACCATTCAAGAACCACACAGGTACAAAAGTACCGCGACACTACTTCAGTGAAGTAAGACAACACTTGATTCTTTCCCAGCACAAAAGTTAATTTACCATGCAATGACAGATTGGTCATGTGAAAGTCATGAACGGGTATTCTGGTACGTGGCGCTCTCCACGCTGACTCACCAACACTCACCCAGACCGTCATTTAAGCAGAGGTCGAGACAACCTAGAGTGTATGGTGATGTGGAAGTGTTTGTGTGAAGATATACGCGGCTGGCTGACTTGGCATTTACCTGAGTTCGGTGCACCCGACCTTCGTGCCCGACAAAAGCCGATCCCACCGACCCAGCTTTAGACGAGCTAGTTCGTTCATCATGTCAAGGGGAATCGTTTCTCCTCCAAACAGCCTCCGGTTGTATGTGGTCAGCAAAGGCTGTCTTTGCAAAACATTATCATGAACTCTCAGTTTCAGAAATTACGTTAATTCGTAAATGTAATCAATGTGTAGATCATTATAGGTACGTGCGTGCGTACATGCGTGCGTACGTATTGGGGAGGGTGTGTGTGCGTGCGTGCGTGCGTGCGTGCGAGCGAGCGAGCGAGCGTGTGTGTGTGAGTGTGAGAGAGGGGTGTTCATACGTGTACACAAAAACAAAATTTCTACTGTTGATCTTGAACTAGTGCTTCAATATGTTTTGTATTCCTTCTTCGTTTATTGGTGTTGTTCCAGTAAATTTATGACAAGCAGAACTATTATATATATCAGGGGAACATTTGTTTGTTAAATAAATGTTGGATTTTTTATCTGCACCCTTAACTATTGACCCGTAAAATGATTCGCTCCCTCGTGAGCGACAGTCAGGTCACGTGATCACCCTCAGTCTATATTTATACTCGGTTTGTTTGTGTGGGTCCGTGTCTCACGGTAGCTGAGACCTCGAAACATACTGAAGCGGATCTATCTTCATAATCGTAAGTTCCGTCATTTCTTATTCGATTTGTTTGTCTTGTGAATACTAACCAGCCCCACAGAATATCTCAGGGATATTTTCACTGCACCAGGTGACACAGTTAGTATCTTGTCGGTGCATTTGACTTTCCAGTCGCCATGCCTACTTACATTCAAATTTTCATGTCAACTCTGGTATATCTCACTCAGTGAATGTAGGATGTCGTTTAGACGGAGCTTTGGGCGATATCAATTGCCCGTGAACTATTTGCTTGAGGGTCTAAACTGGTGGCTTACGTTCCACTTTTGTCATTTGTACCTTAAGCACGACACGTTACATGTTAACAGGCGCAGTGTATGCGTGCGCGTGTGCGTGTGCGTGTGTGTGCGTGTATTAGAATTTCAAGGTTTATATTTCAGATATTATCAGTTTTGGCTATGTACGTTCTCTGGAGGACGCCCCACTCACTGTTAATGCCACATGTTATAGGTATAAGAATTTAACCGGGAGCTGTCTTGAATCCAACAAAAATCATCAAATTCTTAATTTTAATTTATTGTTTAACGAAATTTCGTACATTAGCTGCAATTCACTGCTACAATCGAGTCTGACCCTCTCTATAGGAAAAATGGCTTTCATTTGGAACAATTCAGAAGGTGATGAAAGTATTCTTTGGAAAACATTTACTCTGTAACCAGCCTATAACACGTTATAGTTCGTCGTAAAGCCCTTCTCGAAAACGCTTCAATATTTTCCAACGAAAATTGGCAGACATACCAAGCAGATCCTGAAGCAGTGCCTTTCACTTATTTGCGGACTTTTTGGCATTTACTTATCAAACTGTGCCATACCAAGACCAGGTTGTCAAGTTATGGCTTTTGCTATTTGGGATTTGTTGAATTTATATATCTTCAGTTTCCATGGCAAGGACTTCCAAATCTCAATTACATGGTATTTTTTATATAGCTCATACTATTCTTGCATTGGGATAGAAATATTAGATAGATCTTCACAGGACTCTCACCAAGGTTGAATTACAGTAATAGTCAGATGATATATTCTTTCGTCTGTACAAGGGGATTTGTCTTCCTCTGGTGACTCTTGTTTTCAATTTAGTCAAACATCATGGCTGGAACTTTGGAATGGATCAGTGCAACTGCTTTGGAGTACCGGATCACACTAATGCTGGTTTTGGCAGTGACGGTAATGGTGTATTTTATGACCCGGAAACGTTACAAGCTTCCACCGGGACCAAGTGGTCTCCCGTTGCTTGGCAATATTCTAGGTAAGCTGAACACCAAAGCAGACGGAAAATGTTAAACATATGAAGTCTTCATATTTGAAACTGTCCTGAGTTTAAGTCTGCGCGAATATTCCCTAAAATTTGAATTTTAACTCATAATCCCAGGTTTCAAAGTTATATGCTTCTATAACTTAGAATTTTAAGTGTGGCCCTGCCCATATACGTATATATGTTTCAACGTTTACAAATAATCAAAATACATGTGTTTTGTTACATCAATTGCAGCTATACAAAACAAGTCACTGTTCCGGATGCTGATACAACTGGAAAAGAAGTACGGCCCCGTGATAACCCTTAACCTTGGTAAAGCGGCTTTGTGATTGGTTCAAATTGTTCTAAGTTTCAAGGATACAACCAATGATGTAACGACAATTAATACGATATTCTTCCATGGGTGGCACAGTCGTCTGGTGTGCCATATTTCTCTGTAAAGCGTAGAAGCCTTTGTGCACGCCACTGGCCCGTGATTGTGGCTTCGAATCCTAGTTTGTCCCGATTATGTGTTTTGGTGTGTCAGTCCATAATTTTCTCAGAAATGTTTCGTTATTAGAAGTTGATAGGAATTTAAACTTATGATCATTAGGTTTTTGACAATATACAGATGGTAACTATTTGATCTAAGAGCATTTTAGACATTACAAACAAATAAAAGGTGGTGCTCATCTTCTACTCCTAAATTGCACAATACGTTCCGTTACATAAATATTTTGTCATTTACCTTCATTATACTTTAGTCTCAGTAATCCACATCCAAATGTATTCAATATTGTACGGAGTTTTCTGTGGACAATACGTAATAAATATTTTTCAGGAGCTAAAACAGATTTATATGCAATATCCTGAGCATTTATTTAATAAACAAGTCCATGACTCAAAAGACCTAACATTAACATGGTATGTTTGTCTGTTGTTTAACATCGCCCTCAGCATTATTCCAGCTACAAGACGGCAATCTGTAGGTGATCCAGCCTCAGTCAGCCTGACCACCCGATCCCGGAGTCGCCTCAAGCATGGGTTGTTAAAGATTAATTCTAACCCGAATCTTCACTGGTCCAGACTAAGGACTTCTGTTGGTCTGTGAGACCTTTATGGATTTCACCGTGCACAGGCTGTGGTCTTATAGCTGGGGTATTTTGTACTGCGACAAAATCTGTTTGGTGTTTATTATGAACGACTGTAAACATGGCTTGTTTCCCGTAGGTCCAATACGCACTGTGTTTCTCAACAACTTGGAAGTTGTGCAGGAAGCGTTCGTAGGGAAGTCTGTGGACTTTGCGGGACGGCCGCAGACGTTCTCAGGTTCGTTCAATAAAAAACATAATAAAATAATATGATAAAACCAACAAAATAACTTCTTGCAAGCACAATTATATTTCTCATTCAACAAGCGATGGTAAACATAACTAAAGCTTAGGTTTACCATTTCTATAAATTTTGAAAAGTACATTTGCAATCACTGTGAAGTCTTACAATGTCCACATTATCTGCGAAGATTTCACTGTTCATGTGACTATTTCAGGATTGGCTTTCACCGAGGGAGGCAAGGACATTGCTTTCACAGATTATGGACCGACGTGGCAACTCCATCGGAAACTGGCACTGAGGGCTCTCAAGTAAGTCGAGAAACAAATGCAGAGATTCGTATCTTACTGTATCTTATGCCTTTGTTTCTGACGGGTGCCACCGGTGGAGCAGGATGCCTTCACGTTTTCGTCAAGACCTGGTATTCTCACACATGCTCATAATATTATTAAATTTGTACAGTTGAGTCTGCATTCATCAGAGATTTATTATGGGTGCAGAAAGGGTTTTGTCGCTTATATTTTTATGCTTATGGAAAGCCAGCCAAGAATAATGTCAATACTGAAACACTGGAGACATTTATTGGGGTGACATCGGTAAACTAGAACTATGGAAGATTGTTTGTTTTGTAGGCACTACATGAAAGGCGAGAGGTTTCAGGACACGATAACTGAAGTTATGGAAGCTGTGACGGTAGAGATGGGGACAGAGACGGGCTCGTTTGACATCTACAGCTACATCAACCTCGCCATCTTCAACATCATCAGCAAGATCTGTTTCAATGAGAAGTGAGCAACATAAATATTACTCCATATTTCTTACAGTTCAGCTGCATGGTGTTTATTTCCGGTGAAAAGAAAATGGTTTAGAATAATAACAAAATACTATTTACCCCACGACTCATTCGGCATACATGAACTGTGATATTAGGATCGTTAAGATATATTCTCATGAAATGATATTATGTTTGAAAAAGTATATAAAAGCTCCTCTCTGTCAGTCTTTCGTCTTCCCATCCGCCCAATAGATCACCTTAATACACTTTTACATTTTGGACAGAATATATTGAATGTACAGATATTGCCCTTTATTCCGACATTTCGGCATCTGGTCAAATCTATTCCTTCTTCTTAGTATGTGGCAGTTATTTTGTGTTTTGTATGTTTCCCGATGTTTGTACCGAAGTACTACTTGTGAAGGGATGGGCACAACCACTGCAATATGTACGTTGGCATGTATGTTGATATTTGAAGATATAACGCCCAGAAAGATCCGAATTAGAACTGATCTTCAGCACCATTTTCTTATCCTTAGGGGCGCTTGACGGGATCGGGTGGTCAGGTCCCGCTGATCTGGTTGCCAAATAGCATCGTACCATACTTACGTTATGTTCCTCTCGTCAAACACTGGACTGTCTAGTCCAGACTTATTTTAACAGACCCTCTCCAGATAAACCTGGAGTAGTATGGATAGCGGAGTGTATTAAAAAGCCAAACAATATTTTGTTTTAGGTTTTCATCGGACAATGAAGAGTTCCTAAACGTCTGTAAGGCACTTGACATCTTCTCGCAAGAAACAGGAAATGGATTCGCGGAGGATGTATTCCCTCCTTTAAGACTTTATCCAACAGCGAAATTCAGGAAGTTCATGAAACTAAACGACGAGATGCTTGACTTCATGTACAAAAGGATCAACGCACACAGAGAAACGTTTATAGCAGGTAGGTATTCTGAGCATCATGAGCATCGAACTACGCAACTGGGATACGACGTCATGCATCAACCAAGTCAGCGAGCCTGACCACCCGATCCCGTTAGGCGCATTTTACGTCAAGCGTGGGTTACTGAAGACCGATTCTAACCCGGATCTTCACCGGTCTCAAAAGAGTTACCACGTACCAGTTCTTGTATCTATCGACGTCTTTAGAGCTAGACATCTTGTGTCAAGTGGCTACTATAGCTTCGTTGGCAAGTGAAGTAAGCTCCACTTCAATGTAGAACTTTTCTCTCGCTCCATATCTTTTGCAATTCAATAATATTGTCTGTCACACAAGGTATAATCAGCGGTTGTATCTGGTCTACAATGGTCTGTATGTTGTATAACGTCGCTCTCAGGAAAATGAGGATGCGGGCTTGTATATAATCTAGACTTGTCCTGACTCCACCGTGGTTGATCGATGTTGCGATGGACGAATCCCGGCACAGGGTTACTATGACACGCAATCAACAAGGTGTCCCAGTCTGGCCACCCAATCACCAAAGTCGCCTCTTACAACAAGCACGGGTTGTTTTGGGCCTATAATAATATCATCGGGGAGATCCTTCAAATTCATTGACATCTCATGAAAATAATTCACGAGCTACTTGTATTTACCGTATATTTCCCCCTAAGGATCTGTGACATTAATGGCATCGTATTTTCACAGTTTCGAGATGGTTTTATTGCCTTTGGAATAGTAAAATGTACGACAAATGTTAACGTGACAAAGTCCCATCACAAAGGACCTTCAAAATGTCTCGCGTCCATAATCCAAAACAAATGCATTTCCATGCAGCGGAAAACAAGCGAACTGTTTCGTGCAAAATATCTCGCGATTCCCTAATAACTTCGTATGTTTTTTATCGCTTACTTACAAAAGCAGTATGCGAATCGGAAGAAACGTGTTATTGCAATTAATTCATTATCACTGTACCAAATGCGAAAAAACAATTAAGTCAACATCGGAGAGTGCGGGAATGTTAGCTGAAGTTGGTCGGATCTGTCTGCCGATTTTAAAGTTAAAACGTGAACATTTGATGCCAGATATTCTTAGCAGCACTGGATGGTGGATAGAGGGGTGTGCAATATATACCATAATGCAGATCTTATCCGGGAATCAGATTCCAAAGTAACTTCTCATTCCATATCAGCGCGGGGATGAACATCTGAAAGAACTGACTGGTGGTACTGTCCACAAATGAAATTTCCCCATTACTGAGGCTGTAATACCCTGAATCCGCTTCCCCAGTGGGTGGGAAGACCATTCATATATTCACAAATAATTAGATAACCACTTAACTGACTGACTGTGTTTGGTTTTACGCCGCTTTTAGCAATATTCCAGCAACATCACGGCGGGGAACACCAGAAATGGGCTTCACACATTGTACCCATGTGGGGATTCGAACCCGGGTCTTCGGCGTGACGAGCCAACGCTTTAACCATTAGACTACCCCACCGCCCCAGATAACCACTTAAACCTACATCACATGATGGTATATCTGTGTCTATCTGAAAACATTCGTTAGAGTGGTTCCCTGCTTTGAGAAGATTTGAGTCGAGGCCACTATATAGGTTTTTAACGAATGGTTTACTTTACAGGTATCAAACATAAATGTTTCTAAAACCACGCATGCCTCATAAAATATCAATTTCCTTATGTAAAACATTGAGCTTGTGTCAATAAGTGTTGCCCTTTTACCTCCACAAGACTTGGTTTTTCAGATGCACAACGTGACTTCACAGACGCCATGTTGATTGCCCAGAAAGAGGCAGAGGTGGAAGAGGACCAGGAGCTACTAGAACAGATAACCAACACGCATCTTGGCCAGACAGTATCGGATGTTTTCGGAGGTAATCAAAAGCATCGCGAGAAACTAGGAAGATCGCTACTACTTGAAACAAATATTTTTGAAACATATCGGTAAATTGATCAGACACAATTATAATAATGTTTGTCAATATAGAATTATGTATCTTCAATATCGAACGTAACTATACACAGATATTTAAATTGTGAATATTAAGTTCCCACTTTTGTTTTATTGTCTTTTAAAAGTCTGCACCGTAATTTACAATATAAACTTTCACCTGACAGCGGGCTTGGACACGTCTCGACAGACTCTGTATTGGACAGTCCTGTACCTTGCAGCCTACCCGGAAGTACAAGCGAAACTCCATGCGGAAGTGGACAGGGTGTTGGGTAGGAAAACCTTCAGAATTCAAATCATTTCGTGTCAGTGCCATTTTCAAATGAAGTTTGCGAAGTTTATCACAGGCATTTAGACAGCATTTGACATCGATGCTGAAGGATACAGTATCTACGCCACGCCACGCCACGCCACGCCACGCCACGCCACGCCACGCCACACCACGGGTTGTTGTAGCCCTACAACTTATAGCGTAGTGATGCCTGTTGTAGAGCCTGGTCGCCTTGTTACTTGCAGTGTAACTGATACTCAATCTGGAGTAACACATTTACGACATTTTGTACATCTGTTTTCGTTGATGTATCGCAATACAACCGGCAAAAACCCTTAAAATAATGATGATGCAATATTTGTAAGATTCCGACAACATCATGAGGTGTTACTGAATCAGTCAAATGGACGCGCATTCTGTATCGCCGGTCACAAACACATGAACAGGCAAGTCACACACAGGATTATTATGGTTTATGGAATTGCATTGTACTTTATTTTTGTCACTGAAATATTCTCGTCATGTCTACCAGAGCCTCCTTCACATTGTAATCGTAATAGAAACAGCCTTATCGATTGCACCTTAAAGGTTGTCAAACTTAGACCCAAAATCCAACTGAAGTAATACAATTGCCCAAATTTGATTTTCACGGCACCAAAAACGGGTACACATGATACGAACAAAATTCGACGATCATTTCAAATGAAGCTACCTGTTACAAAACATTATCCAGTAGTAATCAGGTGCTGATTTGCAACGTCGTTGTAAATACCATTGTAAATAATCACCCTTCTTTGTATTTGTAATGAATCTATCTCTGCTATTTGAAAAGTAACATCTTGCTTTGGTGAAGCCGAACATATTTGTGATAAATACCTGATTTGTATTTACTGAATTTGTATTTACTGCTAAGACTCGAATTTGGTCAACTAAGATTGCCAATTGTAACCTGTAAATGCATTAGGTGTTCAACTACTGTCCGTTTCAGTCAGAAACGGACCGATGAATTGCAATAGAGAAGCACGTGCACAAGTGCCCACCAAGTTATTGATTCATTAACCTGTGCTGGGCCGTCTCCATCCTTTCTCGCACACCTGGCTGTCCCTTTCTCTGCACTCCTCCCTCGTAACAAATAGTGAACTGTGTCATAATGTTAATGATAGTTTCTTAAAGAACTTTTTTGATGGAGTCCGGAAAATTTTCAAATATAAGAAAGCTGTTGGGTATTAGTAAATGATAAGCTTATGTACTATTTATATTTCTGTGGCAATTTTGTACAGTGATAAAATTTGCAATTCATCGGTCCGTTTCTGGCTCAAGCGGACTAAAGTCCGAGACTCGTTTAGAAGTATAAACTGTCAGTAAGGACTGTTTCTAAACAATTTTCACTCACAGGTGAGCGGCGAGTACCGATGCTGTCCGAGCGACACAAGCTGCCGTACACCGAAGCCGTGCTCTATGAGAGTATGCGGAAAGGGACAGTGGCGCCTCTGAGTCTCCCCCACTCAACCACTTGTGATACAACTGTCGGTAAGACGGGAGCAGTACAGAACTGTATGTTAGGGTTTGACATAACGACTACGTTTAATATCAGCATTTAAGATTTGCGCTATTATTTGGGTCTGTATACATTGGCAGTTACATAGTACTGACTGGGCATGGTGATGATATTTACAATATGTTCCTCTTAAGGGCACCACAGTTAGAACTGAAAAAGGACAGAATTACACAAATGAACTGTCCAGGATCCACAAACCGAGGGATCGAACCTCGGACTTGTCAGGATTATGATCCCATTAGTTTGCTAGTCCGAGACTTCTGCAAGTAACATATTTCATTTCGTATTTAAACTGAAATAGTTTTCCAAGCTCCTCACTCACCAACCTGCCCTAAACCCACCCAGCCACCCACTCACTCACTTACCCAAAATCCAACCCCCAACCCACTCACTCACTCAGTCACTTACACTTTTCATCTTTTTTTTTAAAATTTGTTTTTCTTTTCTGACATATTTTCGCAGCTGGCTACGAGATTCCTAAAGGGACGATGGTGTTTGCCAACATCTTCGCTATCCACCATGATCCAAGACACTGGAAGGAACCGGAAGTGTTTAATCCCGAACGTTTCCTAGACGATTCCGGAAGGTTTGCACCGAAGTCTGAAAGTTGGATGCCTTTCTCTGTCGGCAAGAGGGCGTGTATGGCGGAAGCTTTGGCCAAACCGGAACTGCATGTTGTCTTGGCCTCGTTCATGAGGTGTTTTGAGATTCGACTGCCGGACGGAGTGACCCCTGACCTTGAACCGGAAGACGGAAGCTTTACATTTATGCCTAAGCGCTATCAGGTTGTCGTCAAAAACAGATTTGCATGAGATGGGAAGATGTGACAATCCAGGCGATGTCCATGTGTACTTGGAGGACCAATTTTACACATAACTGAATTATGCTGATAATATATGTTGTCAGCTTACGTAAGAATAATTTGGTAGAAAGTAATGGTTGATGGAAGCATTTTCCTTAGCATACATTAGTTATCCATCTTTAAATATAAAATATTGTGTGCTTTGTCATATCTAACTCGTCTATAAATCGTCGCCTCCAGCTATGTGATTTCATAATCACCTTTTGCCATGTGGTTCTATCGTTACCTCTTACCATGTGTTCCATCGTCACCTTTAGACATGTGATTCCGTCGTCACCTTTAGACATGTGATTCTATCATCATCTCTAACCTAGCCATGTGGTTCCATTGTCACCTCCAGCCACGTGGCTCTATCGTCTCCTCCAGCCATGTGGTTCTATCGTCATGTGGTTCTGTCGCTGTATACTGGAGACAACAGTTGGATGAATCATTGAAGCGGACCTAAATCATCTGTTTTCCAAATGAAATACTATCACCAAACATGACGCCATATGACGTTTAATATGACTCTGGAATTTCCTTGCATGGTTTAAATTTCATTCACACTTGATCATTCTTTATTAACGCAAACAGAAACATGCATGATATATACTGAAGTCACTAAAAGGTGTGTCACCTCCATTTACTTGTGACCGCCTCCGTGGTGTAGTGGTTAGAGCATCCGCCCAGAGAGCGGAAGGTCGTGGGTTAGATCCCCGACCGCGTCATACCAAAAGACGTTAAAATATGGTACTTGTTGGTCCCTGCCTGGCGCTCGGCATTAATGGGTACAACAAGGACTGGTCGACTCGGAGTCAGTATAATGTGTCTGAGTGGGGTATTCATGATTCAATGCGGCATGGTATCTCAGTGGGCTAGCACTATAAGACCAGCTTAAGTCTGGGCTAGTACAAGCAGCCGCACATACACATACACACGCATGCACGTTGTCATATGAGCGAAAAATTCTAAAGTACGACGTAAAACCCAATTTCACCTCACCTCACCATTTACTTGTTTCACCTGTCACCTGGTACTGAATGGTACGTGGTTCTGTGTGGAAAGTATGTATACGCGAATGTACTACTATTTAATGCACAGAACAAACAATGTGTCTATTTCCCTTTGAAATCTCTGTAACTGCTTATATCTGCATCTCTATGTACTTTTGATTGTCATTTTTTACTACATTTTCTAAAAATATCTTGTAATAAAAATTTCCAATTCCTTGAAGTAAGTCTTCCTTGGGTACTCTAGCACCGAAAACATGAAACACTTATAAGAGGGGTACACAAATCCCGCAGTCTAGACTACCAGTTGTCCGACTTCCATTATTGTGGAAGTCGCGGTAGCTGAGTGGGTTAGGCGGCTGACTTTGTGTGCTGGCGATTAGGTGCCTGACTCTGAGGGTGCGAGTTCGAATCCCGGATGGGGCTCAACCAAAAAAAGTACTAGAATTTGTACTTTACTAAGAAAGTGTTATCCCAAATACAACATATGTTACATGTCTAATGGTCGTGCAAAATTTTTTTAATCCCTACTAGTTGCTTTTACTAGTCAACGAGAGAATTTCGAGATCTAGCCGACAGTTTGGATTGCAACATTTTGGCAAGGCATATCCAAAGGAAAATCAACATCTTTGCAGATGCTTTATCATGACAAGACAAGGTCCTATAGACAGATGGATGCTTCATTCAGAAGCCTTCATGCCAATAACGGTGAAATCGGAACAACCTCATATAAATCTGTTCACAAAATCCCTGAACAATCAATTGCAGAAATATATCAGCCAAGTTCAAGATCTGCAAGCTTATGCAGTGGATGCAATGTCGACATATTAACATGATGTCATGTTTTAAAAGGTCAGTGTGCAACAGTTGTGATGATGTCATTGTGTGCAGCGGCTTTACGCGTGACGTAGGAAGTGATGACTTCAGGAAGTTTATGGCGCTCTATGGACGTCTACAGCAAGCTGACAGGATCTTTCTTCTGGGAGGACATATTCCCTCCTCTGATGTGTCTACCGATGCGCATATAATATGTGCTGGTATCATGAAGCAAGGTATCAACACAGCGTTCTCGGGGAAGTCTTAACCTGCGTCAGCAAAGGGAACTGTCCTTCTGAGGTTCATTCCTGATGTTATGTTTGCTAAAGAATGGACTTTGTATTTCGCCTATATAGACGATATATTTATTGTGGGGAAGCAACCCTGTGAAGTGCTTTACTGACGTTATCCTTATTGTGGGACTTTGTGTCGAGCCCATATCCTTTTACTACGTACTTGGAGTGGCCATTCGTTGCAGCTGCTGCTAAATATAGCTGACTTCCAACCCTCATGTCACAGATCAGTACCACAATACCATAACCAGTACCACACCTGTACAATACCATGACAGTACCACACCAGTACAATACTATGACCAGTACCACACCTGTACAATTCCATGACAGTACCACACAAGTACAATACCATGACAATACCAACACCTGTACAATACCATCACCAGTGCCACACCTGTACAATACCATGACAGTACCACGTCAGTAAAATACCATGACAGTACCATACCGGGAAAATACCATGACCATTACCACACCTGTACAATACAATAACCAGTACCACACCTGTATAATACCATGACATGTACCACACCTGTACAATACCATGACCATTACCACACCTGTACAATACCATAACCAGTACCACACCTGTACAATACCATGACCAGTATCACACCTGTGAAATACCATGACCAGTACCACACCTGTACATTACAATAACCAGTACCACACCTGTACAAAACCATAACCAGTACCACACCAGTACAATAGCATGACAGTACCATACCAGAATAATACCATGACCAGTACCACACTTGTAAAATATAATGACCAGTACCACACCTGTACAATACCATAACCAGTACCACACCTCTACAATACCATGACCAGTACCACACCTGTACAATACCATAACCAGTACCACACCTGCACAATACCATCACCAGTACCACACCTGTACAATACCATCACCAGTACCACATCTGTACAATACCTTTACCATTACCACACCTGTACAATACCATGACCAGTACCACACCTGTAGAATACCATCACAAGTACCACAACTGTACAATACCACGACCAGTACCACACCTATACAATACCATGACCAGTACCACATCTGTACAATACCATAACCAGTACCACACCTGTACAAGACCATGACCAGTACCACACCAGTACAATACCATGACCAGGACCACATCTGTACAATACCATAACCAGTACCACACCAGTACAATACCATGACCAGTACCATACCTGTACAATACCATGAACAATTCCACACTTGTACAATACCAGTACCAGTACCACACCTGTACAATACCATGACCAGTGCCACACCTGTACAATACCATGACCAGTACCACACATGTACAATGCCATGACCAGTACAACACATGTACAATACCATAACCAGTACCACACCTGTACAATACCATAACCAGTACCACACCTGTACAGTACCATGGCCAGTACAACACATGTACAATACCATAACCACTACCACACCTGTACAAAACCATAACCAGTACCACACCTGTATAATACCATGACAAGAACAACACCTGTACAAAACAATAACCAGTACAACACCTGTACACTACCATGACAGTTCCACACCAGTACAATACCATGACCAGTACCACACCTGTACAATACCATGACCAGTATCACACCTGTACAATACCATAACCAGTACCACACCTGTACAATACCATAACCAGTACCACACCTGTACAATACCATGACAGTGCCACACCAGTATAATACAATGACAGTTCCACACCAGTACAATAGCATGACAGTACCATACCAGTACAATATCATGAGCAGTACCACACCTGTACAATACCATGACCAGTACCACACCTGTACAATACCATGACAGTACCATACCAATACAATACCATGACCAGTACCACACCTGTACAATACCATGATCAGTACCACACCACCACATTATCGTGACCTGTAAAACAACAGTACGATACCGTGACAGTACCACACCAGTACAATACCATGACAGTACCACACCAGTACAATTCCATGAAAGCACTAGGCTAGTAGAATACCATGACAGTACCACACATGTACAATACCATGACAGTACCACACCAGTACAATTCCATGAAAGCATCACGCCAGTACAATACCATGACAGTACCACACCTGTACAATACCATGACAGTACCACACCAGTACAATTCCATGAAAGCACCACACCTGTATAATACCATGAAAGCACCACACCTGTATAATACCATGACAGCACCACACCAGTGCAATACTATGACAGTACCACACCAGTACAATTGCATGAAAGCACCACACCAGTACAATTCCATGAAAGCACCACACCTGTATAATACCATGACAGCACCACACCAGTACAATACTCTGACAGTACCACACCAGTACAATACCATGACCAGTACCATTCAAGAACCACACAGGTACAAAAGTACCGCGACACTACTTCAGTGAAGTAAGACAACACTTGATTCTTTCCCAGCACAAAAGTTAATTTACCCTGCAATGACAGATGGGTCATGTGAAAGTCATGAACGGGTATTCTGGTACGTGGCGCTCTCCACGCTGACTCACCAACACTCACCCAGACCGTCATTTCAGCAGAGGCCGAGACAACCTAGAGAGTATGGTGATGTGGAAGTGTTTGTGTGAAGATATACGCGGCTGGCTGACTTGGCATTTACCTGAGTTCGGTATACCCGACCTTCGTGCCCAACAACAGCCGATCCCACCAACCCGTCTTTAGACGAGCTAGTTCGTTCATCATGTCAAGGGGAATCGTTTCTCCTCCAAACAGCCTCCGGTTGTATGTGGTCAGCAAAGGCTGTCTTTGCAAAACATTATCATGAACTCTCAGTGTCAGAAATTACGTTAATTCGTAAATGTAATCAATGTGTAGATCATTGTTCGTGCGTGCGTGTGTCAATGCGTGCGTACGTATTGGGGGGAGGGTGTGTGTGCGTGCGTGCGTGCGAGCGAGCGAGCGTGTGTGTGTGTGTGAGTGTGAGAGAGGGGTGTTCATACGTGTACACAAATACAAAATTTCTGTTGATCTTGAACTAGTGCTTCAATATGTTTTGTATTCCTTCTTCGTTTATTGGTCCTGCTCCAGTAAATTAATGACAAGCAGAACTATTATATATATATCAGGGGAGCATTTGTTTGTTAAATAAATGTTGGATTTTTTATCTGCCCCCTTATCTATTGACCCATAAAATGAATCGCTCCCTCGTGAGCGATTGTAAACAGTCAGGTCACGTGATCACTCTCAGTCTATATTTAGACTCGGTTTGTTTGTGTCGGTCCGTGTCTCACGGTAGCTGAGACCTCGAAACATACTGAAGCGGATCTATCTTCATAATCGTAAGTTCCCGTCATTTCTGTGAATACTAACCAGCCCCACAGAATATCTCAGGGATATCTTCACTGCACCAGGTGACACAGTTAGTATCTTGTCGGTGCATTTGACTTTCCAGTCGCCATGCCTACTTACATTCCAATTTCTATGTCAACTCTGGTATATATCTCACTCAGTGAATGTAGGATGTCTTTCAGACGGACCTTTGGGTGATATGAATTGCCCGTGACCTATTTGCTTGAGGGTCTAAACTGGTGGCTTACGTTCCACTTTTGTCATTTGTACCTTAAGCACGACACGTTACATGTTAACAGGCGCAGTGTATGCGTGCGCGTGTGCGTGTGCGTGTGTGTGCGTGTATTAGAATTTCAAGGTTTATATTTCAGATATTATCAGTTTTGGCTATGTACGTTCTCTGGAGGACGCCCCACTCACTTTGAATGTCACATGTTATAGGTATAAGAATTTAATCGGGGGCTGTCTTGAATCAAACCAAAATTATTAATTTTAATTTATTGTTTAAGGAAATTTCGTACATTAGCTGCAATTCATTGCTACAATCGAGTCTGACCCTCTTTATAGGAAAAATGGCTTTCATTTGGAACAATTCAGAAGGTGATGAAAGTATTCATTGGAAAACATTCACTCAGTAACCGGCCTATAACACCTTATAGTTCGTCGAAAAGCCCTTCTCGAAAACGCTTCAATATTTTCCAACAAAAATTGGCAGACATACCAAGGAGATCCTGAAGTGCCTTTTACTATTTGCGGTCTTTTTGGCATATACTTATCAAACTGTGCCATACCAAGACCAGGTTGTTAAGTTATGGCTTTTGCTATTTGGGGATTTGTTGAATTTATATATCTTCAGTTTCCATGGCAAGGACTTCCAAATCTCAATTACATGGTATTTTTTATATAGCTCATACTATTCTTGCATTCGGATAGAAATATTAGATAGCTCATCACAGGACTTTCACCAAGGTTGAATTACAGTTATAGTCAGATGATATATTCTTTCGTCTGTACAAGGGGATTTGTCTTACTCTGGTGACTCTTGTTTTCAATTTAGTCAAACATCATGGCTGGGACTTTGGAATGGATTAGTGCAACTGCTTTGGAATACCGGATCACACTAATGCTGGCTTTGGCAGTGACGGTAATGGTGTATTTTATGACCCGGAAACGTTACAAGCTTCCACCGGGACCACGTGGTCTCCCGTTGCTTGGCAATATTCTAGGTAAGCTGAACACCAAAGCAGACGGAAAATGTTAAACATATGAAGTCTTCATATTTGAAACCGTCCTGAGTTTAAGTCTGCGCGAATATTCTCTAAAATTTGAATTTTAACTCATAAATACATTTCAGGTTTCAAAGTTATATGCTTCTATAGCTTAGAATTTTAAGTGTGGCCCTGCCCATATACGTATATATGTTTTCAACGTTTACAAATAATCAAAATACATGTGTTTTGTTGCATCAATTACAGCTATACAAAACAAGTCACTGTTCCGGATGCTGATACAACTGGAAAAGAAGTACGGCCCCGTGATAACCCTTAACCTTGGTAAAGCGGCTTTGTGATTTGTTCAAATTGTTCTAAGTTTCAAGGATACAACCAATGATGAAACGACAATTAATACGATATTCTTCCATGGGTGGCACAGTCGTCTGGTGTGCCATATTTCTCTGTAAAGCGTAGAGGCCTTTGTGCACGCCACTGGCTCGTGATTGTGGCTTCGAATCCTAGTTTGTCCCGATTATGTGTCTTGGTGTGTCAGTCCATAATTTTCTCAGAATTGTTTCGTTATTAAAAGTTGATAGGAATTTAAACTTATGATCATTAGGTTTTTGACAATATACAAATGGTAACTATTGGATCTAAGAGCATTATAGACATTACAAACAAAAAAAAAGGTGGTGCTCATCTTCTACTCCTAAATTGCACAATGTGTTCAGTTACATTAATATTTTGTCATTTACCTTCATTATACTTTAATCTCAGTAATCCACATCGAAATGTAATCAATATTGTACGGAGTTTTCTGTGGACAATACATACTAAATATTTTTTCCAGGAGCTAAAAGATTTTTATATACAATATCCTGAGCGTTTATTTTACTATACAAGTCCATGACTGAAGAGACCTAACATTAACATCGTGTGTTTGTTTGTTGTTTAACATCGCACTCAGCATTCATCCAGCTATAAGACGGCGATCTGTAGGTGATCCAGTCTAGACCAGACAATCTAGTGACTTCCATCATGTGCATCGATCTAAACTGCTGAGGTACGATGACATGTATCAACCAAGTCAGCCTGACCGCCCGATCCCGGAGTCGCCTCAAGCATGGGTTGTTAAAGATTAATTCTAACCCGGATCTTCACTGGTCCAGACTAAGGATCTCTGTTGGGCTGTGAGACCTTTATGGATTTCACCGTGCACAGGCTGTGGTCTTATAGCTGGGGTATTTTGTATTGCGACAAAATCTGTTGGATGTTTATTATGACCGACTGTAAACATGGCTTGTTTCCCGTAGGTCCAATACGCACCGTGTTTCTCAACAACTTGGAAGTTGTGCAGGAAGCGTACGTAGGGAAGTCTGTGGACTTTGCGGGACGGCCGCAGACGTTCTCAGGTTCGTTCAATAAAAAACATAATAAAATAATATGATAAAACCAACAAAATAACTTCTTGCAAGCACAAATTATATTTCTCATTCAACAAGCGATGGTAAACATAACTAAAGCTTAGGTTTACCATTTCTATAAACTTTGGAAAGTACATTTGCAATCACTGTGAAGTCTTACAATGTCCACATTATCCGCGAAGATTTCAATGTTAATGTGACTATTTCAGGATTGGCTCTCACCGAGGGAGGCAAGGACATTGCTTTCACAGATTATGGACCGACGTGGCAACTCCATCGGAAACTGGCACTGAGGGCTCTCAAGTAAGTCGAGAAACCAATGCAGAGATTCGTATCTTACTGTATCTTATGCCTTTGTTTCTGACGGATGGGGTCAAGACCTGATATTCTCACACATGTTCATAATATTATTAATTTGAACAGTCAAGTCTGCATTCATCAGGGATTTATTATGGGTGCAGAAAGGGTTTTGTCGCTTATATTTTTTATGCTTATGGAAAGCCAGCCAAGAATAATGTTAATACTGTGACACTGGAGACATTTATTGGGGTGACATCGGTAAACTAGAACTAAAGATTGTTTGTTTTGTAGGTACTACATGAAAGGCGAGAGGTTTCAGGACACGATAGTTGAAGTTATGGAAGCTGTGGCGGTAGAGATGGGGACAGAGACAGGATCATTTGACATCTACAGCTACATCAACCTCGCCATCTTCAACATCATCAGCAAGATCTGTTTCAATGAGAAGTGAGCAATATTACTCCGTATTTCTTACAGTTCAGCTGCATGGTGTTTATTTCCGGTGAAAAGAAAATGGTTTAGAATAATAACAAAATACTATTTACCCCACGACTCATTCAGCAAACATGAATTGTGATATTAGGATCGTTAAGATATATTCTCATGAAATGATATTATGTTTGAAAAAGTATATAAAAGCTCCTCTCTGTCAGTCTTTCGTCTTCCCGTCCACCCAATAGATCACCTTAATACACTTTTACATTTTGGACAGAATATATTGAATGTACAGATATTGCCCTTTATTCCGACATTTTTCGGCATCTGGTCAAATCTATTCCTTCTTCTTAGTATGTGGCGGTTATTTTGTGTTTTGTATGTTTCCCAATGTTTGTACCGAAGTACTACTTGTGAAGGGATGAGCACAACCACTGCAATATGTACGTTGGCATGTATGTTGATATTTGAAGATATAACGCCCAGAAAGATCCGAATTAGAACTGATCTTCAGCACCATTTTCTTATCCTTAGGGGCGCTTGACGGGATCGGGTGGTCAGGTCCCGCTGATCTGGTTGCCAAATAGCATCGTACCATACTTACGTTATGTTCCTCTCGTCAAACACTGGACTGTCTAGTCCAGACTTATTTTAACAGACCCTCTCCAGATAAACCTGGAGTAGTATGGATAGCGGAGTGTATTAAAAAGCCAAACAATATTTTGTTTTAGGTTTTCATCGGACAATGAAGAGTTCCTGAACGTCTGTAAGACAATTTGACATCTTCTCGCAAGAAACAGGAAATGGATTCGCGGAAGATGTATTCCTCCTTTAAGACTTTATCCAACAGCGAAATTCAGGAAGTTCATGAAACTAAACGGCGAGATGCTTGACTTCATGTACAAAAAGGATCAACGCACACAGAGAAACGTTTATAGCAGGTAGGTATTCTGAGCATCATGAGCATCGAACTACGCAATTGGGATACGACGTCATGCATCAACCAAGTCCGCGAGCCTGACCACCCGATCCCGTTAGGCGCATTTTACGTCAAGCGTGGGTTACTGAAGACCGATTCTAACCCGGATCTTCACCGGTCTCAAAAAAGAGTTACCACGTACCAGTTCTTGTATCTATCGGCGTTTAATCGATTAAACTCGACGTCTTTAGAGCTAGACATCGTGTGTCAAGTGGCTACTATAGCTTCGTTGGCAAGTGAAGTAAGCTCCACTTCAATGTAGAACTTTTCTCTCACACCATCTCTTTTGCAATTCAATAATATTGTCTGTCACACAAGATATAATCAGCGGTTGTTTCTCGTCTACAATGGTCTGTATGTTGTATAACGTCGCTCTCAGGAAAATGAGGATGCGGGCTTGTATATAATCTAGACTTGTCCTGACTCCACCGTGGTTGATCGATGTTGCGATGGACGAATCCCGGCACAGGGTTACTATGACACGCAATCAACAAGGTGTCCCAGTCTGGCCACCCAATCACCAAAGTCGCCTTTTACAACAAGCACGGGTTGTTTTGGGTCTATACTAATATCCTCGGGGAGAACTTTCAAATTCATTGACATCTCATGAAAATAATTCACGAGCTACTTGTATTTACCGTATATTTCCCCCTAAGGATCTGTGACATTAATGGCATCGTATTTTCACAGTTTCGAGATGGTTTTATTGCCTTTTGAATAGTAAAATGTACGACAAATGTTAACGTGACAAAGTCCCATCACAAAGGACCTTCAAAATGTCTCGCGTCCATAATCCAAAACTAATGCATTTCCATGCAGCGGAAAACAAGCGAACTGTTTCGTGCAAAATATCTCGCCATTACCTAATAACTTCGTATGTTTTTATCGCTTACTTACAAAAGCAGTATGCGAATCGGAAGAAACGTGTTATTGCAATTAAATCATTATTACTGTACCAAATGCGAATAAACAATTAAGTCAACATCGGAGAGTGCGGGAATGTTAGCTGAAGTTGGTCGGATCAGTCTGCCAATTTTAAAGTTAAAACGTGAACAATTGATGCCAGATATTCTTAGCAGCACTGGATGGTGGATAGAGGGGTGTGCAATATGTATCATAATGCGATCTTATCCGGAATCAGATTCCAAGTAACTTCTCATTCCATATCAGCGCAGGGATGAACATCTGAAAGAACTGACTGGTGGTACTGTCCACAAATGAAAATTCCCCATTACTGAGGCTGTAATACCCTGAATCCGGCTTCCCCAGTGGGTGGGAAGACCATCCATATATTCACACTCTTGTCTGAAGAAAATAATTTGATAACCACTTAAACCTACATCACATGATGATATATCTGTGTCTATCTGAAAACATTCGTTAGAGTGATTCCCTGCTTTGAGAAGATTTGAGTCAAGGCCACTGTACAGGTTTTTAACGAATGGTTTACTTTACAGGTATCAATGTTTCTAAACCACGCATGCCTCATAAAATATCAATTTCCTTTTTAAAACATTGAGCTTGTGTCAATAAGTGTTGCCCTTTTACCTCCACAAGACTTGGTTTTTCAGATGCACAACGTGACTTCACAGACGCCATGTTGATTGCCCAGAAAGAGGCAGAGGGGGAAGAAGACCAGGAGCTGCTAGAACAGATCACCAACACGCATCTCGGCCAGACAGTAGCGGATGTTTTCACAGGTAATCAAAACACATATGAAGCTTTTCAAAAGCCTCGCGAGAAACTAGGAAGATCGCTACTACTTGAAACAAATATCTTTGAAACATATCGGTAAATTGATCAGACACAATTATAATAATGTTTGTCAATATAGAATTATGTATCTTCAAGATCGAACGTAACTATATACACAGATATTTAAATTGTGAATATTAAATTCCCACTTTGGTTTACATTTTGTTTACCGTAATTTACTTTATAATTTTTTACCTGACAGCGGGCTTGGACACGTCTCGACAGACTCTGTATTGGACAGTCCTGTTCCTTGCAGCCCACCCGGAAGTACAAGCGAAACTCCATGCGGAAGTGGACAGGGTGCTGGGTAGGAAAACCTTCAGAATTCAAATCATTTCCTGTCAGTGCCATTTTCAAATTGAAGTTTGCCAAGTTTTTCACAGGCATTTAGACAGCATTTGACATCGATGCTGAAGGATACAGTATCTACGCCACGCCACGGGTTGTTGTAGCCCTACAACTTATAGCGTAGTGACACCTGTTGTAGCGCCTGGTCGCCTTGTTACTTGCAGTGTAACTGATACTCAATCTGGAGTAACGCATTTACGACATTTTGTACATCAGGACGTCTGTTTTCGTTGATGTATCGCAATACAACCGGCAAAAACCCTTTAAATAATGATGATGCAATATTTGTAAGATTCCGACAACATCATGAGGTGTTACTGAATCAGTCACATGGACACGCATTCTGTATCACCGGTCACAAACACATGAACAGGCAAGTCATGCACTTGAAGGAAAAAGACACACAGAATTATCATGGTTTATGGAATTGCATTGTACTTTATTTTTGTCACTGACTTTAAAATATTCTCGTCATGTCTACCAGAGCCTCCTTCAAATTGTAATCGTAATAGAAAAAGCCTTGTCGATTGCACCTTTAAAGGTTGTCAAACTTAAACCCAAAATCCAACTGAAGTAATACAATTGCCCAAATTTGATTTCAACGGCACCAAAAACTTGATTTCACATCTCGTATATTGGGTGTGCATTGCGCGTGATGACCGGATTTGCGGGTAAACACGGATACGAACAAAATTCGACGATCATTTCAAATGAAGCTACCTGTTACAAAACATTATCCAGTTGTAATCAGGTGCTGATTTTCAACTTCGTTGTAAATACCATTGTAAACAATCACCCTTCTTTGTATTTGTAATGAATCTATCTCTGCTATTTGAAAAGTGACATCTTGCTTTGGTGAAGCCGAACATATTTGTGATAAATACCTGATTTGTATTTACTGAATTTGTATTTACTGCTAAGACTCGAATTTGGTCAGCATAGATTGCCAATTGTAACCTGTAAATGCATTAGGTGTTCAACTAGTCCGCGACTCGTTTAGAAGTATAAACTGTCAGTAAGGACTGTTTCTAAACAATTTTCATTCACAGGTGAGCGGCGAGTACCGATGCTGTCCGAGAGACACAAGCTGCCGTACACCGAAGCCGTGCTCTATGAGAGTATGCGGAAAGGGACAGTGGCGCCTCTGAGTCTCCCCCACTCAACCACTTGTGATACAACTGTCGGTAAGACGGGAGCAGTACAGAACTGTATGTTAGTCTTTGACTTAACGGCTACGTTTAATATCAGCATTTAAGATTTGCCCTATTATTTGGGTCTGTATACATTGGCAGTAACATAGTACTGATTGGGCATGGTGATGATATTTACAATATGTTCCTCTTAAGGGCACCACAGTTAGAACTGAAAAAGGACAGAATTATTTACACATGAACTGTCCAGGATCAACAAACCGAAGGATCGAACCTCGGACTTGTCCGGATAATGATCCCCTTAGTTTGCTTGTCCGAGACTTACGGATTTCTGCAAGTAACATATCTCATTTCGTACTTAAACTGAAATAGTGTTCCAAGCTCCTCACTCACCCACCTGCCCTAAACCCACCCAGCCACCCGCTCACTCACTTACCCAAAATCCAACCCCCAACCCACTCACTCACTCAGTCAGTCGCTCACACTTTTCATCTTTTTTTAAAATTTGTTTTTCTTTCCGACATATTTTCGCAGCTGGCTACGAGATTCCAAAAGGGACGATGGTGTTTGCCAACATCTTCGCTATCCACCATGATCCAAGACACTGGAAGGAACCGGAAGTGTTTAATCCCGAACGTTTCCTAGACGATTCCGGAAGGTTTGCACCGAAGTCAGAAAGTTGGATGCCTTTCTCTGTCGGCAAGAGGGCGTGTATGGCGGAAGCTTTGGCCAAACCGGAACTGCATGTTGTCTTGGCCTCGCTCATGAGGTGTTTTGAGATTCGACTGCCGGTCGGAGTGACCCCTGACCTTGAACCGGACGACGGAAGCTTTTCATTTACGCCTAAGCGCTATCAGGTTGTCGTCAAAAACAGATTTGCATGAGATTGGAAGATGTGACAATCCAGCTGATGTCCAAGTGTACGAGGAGTACCAATTTTACACATAACTGAATTATGCTGCTAATATATGTTGTCAGCTTACGTAAGAATAATTTGGTAGAAAGTAATGGTTGATGGAAACATTTTCCCTAGCATACATTAGTTATCAAACTTTAAATATAAAAATATGTGTGCTTTGTCATATCTAGCTCGTCTGTAAATCGTCGCCTCCAGCTATGTGATTTCATAATCACCTTTTGCCATGTGGTTCTATCGTTACCTCTTACCATATATGTGTTCCATCGTCACCTATAGCCATGTGATTCCGTCGTCATCTTTAGACATGTGATTCTATCATCGTCTCTAGCCTAGCCATGTGGTTCCATTGACACCTCCAGCCACGTGGCTCTATCGTCTCCTCCAGCCACGTGGCTCTATCGTCTCCTCCAGCCATGTGGCTCTATCTTCTCCTCTAGCCATCTGGCTCTATCTTCTCCTCCAGCCATGTGGCTCTATCGTCTCCTCCAGCCATGTGGCTCTATCGTCTCCTCCAGCCATGTGGCTCTATCGTCTCCTCTAGCCATCTGGCTCTATCTTCTCCTCCAGCCATGTGGCTCTATCGTCTCCTCCAGCCACGTGGCTCTATCGCCTCCTCCAGCCATGTGGCTCTATCTTCTCCTCTAGCCATCTGGCTCTATCTTCTCCTCCAGCCATGTGGCTCTATCGTCTCCTCCGCCTCCTCCAGCCACGTGGCTCTTTCGTCACCCTACAGCCATGTGGCTCTACCGTCTCCTCAGGCCTTGTGGCTCTATAGTTTCTTCCAGCACGTGAATCTATCGTCTCCTCCAGCCATGTGGCTCTATCGTCTCCTCCAGCCATGTGGCTCTATCTTCTCCTCTAGCAATGTGGCTCTATCGTCATCTCTTAATCATCTGTTTTCCAGATCAAATGCTATCACCAAACATCACACCATATGACGTTCAATATGACTCTGGAATTTTGTTGCATGGATGAAATTTCATTCACATGTATTCTCTTTATTAGGCAAACAGAAATATGCATGATATATACTGAAGTCACTAAAAGGTGTGTCACCTCCATTTACTTGTGAACGCCTCCGTGGTGTAGTGGTTAGAGCGTCCGCCCGGAAAGCGCAAGGTCGTGGGTTCGATCCCCGACTGCGTCATACCAAAATACGTTAAAATATGGTACTTGTTGGTCCCTGCCTGGCGCTCGGCATTAATTGGTACAACAAGGACTGGTCGACTCGGAGTCAGTATAATGTGTCTGAGTGGGGTATTCATGCTTCACTGCGGCATGGTATCTCAGTGGGCTAGGACTATAAAGCCAGCTTCAGTCTGGGCTAGTACAAGCAGCCGCACCTACACATACACACGCATGCACGTCGTCATATGAGCGAGATATTCTCAAGCACGACGTAAAACCCAATTTCACCTCACCTCACCTCATTGAGCTCGGAAGACGAGGTGCATGGGTTGCATTTAACACTGTACATACCGTGTTCACAGCAATAAAGTTTATTCCTCAGAATAGAGACGTCCCTTTCTTATTGATCCTTAATTGTCATTTGTTCAAATTGTGTGTAAGTAATCAGGAGCAAGCATTTTAGTATTCAATGTGTATTCACTACATGCAACACTACATGTAACAATTGGCTTCAGCCGATATAACTAGCACTAGGCTACAATGTTTTCACCTTTTTCACCAATTTCACCTCACCTCACCATTTACTTGTATGCATGTTTCACCTGTCCCCTGGTACTGAATGGTATGTGGTTCTGTGTGGAAAGTATGTATTTCTTAAATGTACTACTATTTAATGGACAGAACAATCAATGTGTCTATTTCCCTTTGAAATCTCTGTAAGTGCTTATATCTGCATCTCTATGTACTTTTGACTGTCATTTTGTACTACATTTATTAAAAATATCTTGTAATAAAAATCTACCTAAACCTGGAGAGGTTTCCTATTCCTTGAGACCCGTGAAGATCCGGGGTAGAATAGGTCTTCAGCAACCCATGTGCTTGCCATAAAAGGCGACTATCTTGTCGTAAGAGGCGACTGACGGGATCGGTTGGTCAGTTTCGCTGACTTGGTTGACACATGTCATCGGTTCCCAATTGCGCAGATCGATGCTCATGCTGTTGATCACTGGATTGTCTGGTCCAGACTCGATTATTTACAGACCGCAGCCATATAGCTGGGATATTGCGGAGTGCGGCGTAAAACTAAACTCACTCACTCCTATTCCTTGAAGTAAGTCTTCCTTGGGTACTCTAGCATTTTTTCACCGAAAACATGTCTAATGGCCGTGCAAAAAGTCTTTAATTTAAAAAAATAATAATTTAACAACAAACTTAATTTTGTTGATGCGGTATGCAGTGGTGGGCGTATCACCCCCTTTTATGAATAATGATATACAAAGGCCATGACATACTCAATACAAGATCACTTGGTGAGGGAGGCATGGCCCTGCCTACTGGAGAGAACCGACTGACCGAAGCAAGCACGCTCTCTCGAGCTTAGGTCAAGTTGGTAATGCCTGATGAATGTACTCGGTCGGCTCCAAATAGCCGCTGAGCAGATCTCTTCAATGGGCAGGGCCGCTGCGAACGCCTTAGAGGTAGCGACAGCCCTGACCGAGTGAGCTTTCAACCCCTCAGGGGGAGGCCTACCCTTAAAGTTGTAGGCCGTACAATTTGCAGAGACGAGCCAGCGGGAAATAGTTTGCTTATTGGCTGGCTCGCCAACCTTCCCTCCGCCATAGCAGCAAAACAATTGAGACCCCTTGCGGATTTCTTTTGTTCTCTTTATGTAGGCATGGAGAACCTGGCGAACATCCAGCGAGTGAGAGCTCGTTGGAGAGGATCCCGAGGTAGAAGGATGTGTGAAAGCAGGAAGCTCAATAGGAGCTGTCACATGGAAGGTATGAGCAACCTTAGGACGATAAGTATCCGGTAGGCGAATGCTTACTCTGTCTTTGTGGAAAACAGTAAACGCTTTGTCTGCAGACATAGCATGTATGTCACCCTCCCTTCTACCAGAAGTCACCGCCACAAGGAAAGCATTTTCCATGTTAGCAGCTGGAGTAGTATATAGAATGGGGATTCTGTGACAGGCCGATTAAGAGCGTCATTATATATCAATTCCGCTACCAGCCCCAAGTATAAATTAACTATTTCGAGCAGAGACATCATTCGATGCACATCCCAGACCCCTATAGGAGCCTTAAAATCTGTATGGTACCATGAGTTTCGGTAACCCCGGGCGGGAGCGAGGACGAATCAACAGCCTGCAATACGTCCCTGTAGACTACAAGCCGCAGACCGTGCCGGATGCTAAGCAGCCACCAGTTCCCCTGTCATAGAATGGGGATTCTGTGACAGACCGACTAAGAGCGTCATTATATGCCAATCCCACTCACAAGTATAAATTAACGATTTCGAGCAGAGACACCATTCGATGCACCTTTGAAACTCCCCCAGGCCAACTAAGAGCACCAATTTCACCACTGGTGGGCCTCAGTGGTTTATGAGCGTGTGCCCGTACGCATAAGTCGTGACGCCGTCGGCAGCGATCCACTGTTTGGCTTAATGGGCGACAGCGACGTCTTGTTGAGGGTGATGCCGTAGATGTTATGTTTGTCGGTTCTCAGCGCATTCATTCGGTGTTTGAACGTCTTATTCTTGAACAGAGCTTGTTTGAAGAGGACGTGCTTGATGTGTTGTTTCACCACATATCTCTTGACCCCCTTTGCCTTTCGGATCTCACCCTTGTCAGCTTTCAAGATGGAGTACATCTTAGGCCTCAAGCCGAAGTATTCAGCGATGGGTGTGCCCGCGCATTCATCCTTCATCTTGCCAAGGACCTTTTTGTTGGTCGTGCTGTGTAGGGCATGGTCCTTGGGGTAATCGCTGGTGTCGTACAGGTGTATGTGTTTTGCCATGTCCTCGTACACATCCTCGGTGCGTATATCCAACAACAAGGAATCCGTGTCCGTGTACAGCAGCCCGCATCGATCACCAGATTGCTTCTTGAGCCGGTTGTAGTAGAAATCATACATGAAATGTTTGGACAGGCCGAGAATGCTCATCCCCACATAGACGGGCCGGTTGAGCTTGATGTGACTTTTGTTCTTGTGCAGCGCCGCCAAATCGTTATCGAATAGCTTGCTTCGGTTGAAGGCCGGGCTAGCGATCAGTTTCCTGAGTTTTTCCTCCTGGTGCGATCGCACGAGTTTGACCGTTACCCGTTTTCTCAGGTTCTCCATCGTCTTACCAAACACCGAGTTGTTCATGAGCTTATACAAATTCTTCTCGAAGTCACTGGTGGCTACCTTTCGCAGGTCCGTGTTCATTCTGATGTAGGGCTCCATCCAAGGACTTTGATTGAACTTAAGCACCCTATGAATTTTGGTCAGTTTCATACCCAACGATAGGTACAGCTGCAGGTTGCAATAGTGCACGACGTACTTGGTCTTGTTCATCAAGTTCGGGACGAGTTTTTCCACCCGAACCAAGGTCTTCTCACCCAACAAGTCCGGCTGATAGTCGGACATCCAGTCTCGGCAGACCATCAACCGTTCGGGGGCCAGCGGGTAGCTGTTGTGGGTAGCGTGTAATGCCTCGGGATACTCCAGATCCACTTTGAGGATGTAACCCTTCCCCGAATCCAGCGTGATGATCGTGATATCAATCTCATCGTCCAGCCACTCAAACCCACCAGTAGGCAGAGACTGGCTCATAGCCCAGCCGTACAGGTTGTTGGCATCGAGATAGAGGAGATGATTGGTGGGCTTGCTAGAGTCGTAGCCTTCCATGTATTTATTGTTAGCTCTTGCGTACCGTTTGGCAGCCATGGAGATCCCTCCTTGCAATCCTTTTTCGATGAACAGGTGCATGTCGTAGTCCGTGAGCAATTCCAGCTCAACTCCGGTTTTCTTCAGCAGCGCATCCCACGATAGACCGGGGCTGGTGTAGTACCATGCAGGGTCGAGTTGATACTGTTTCAAACGCATCCTCCTAAACGTCTCGAACACATCGGCTAGCAGGAGCACATCCGTTCTCAAGTATAGATCGTGGTAGTCACCCATATTCTTACATCCCAGTTTCTCCCACACGTTCTGCGCGTGGACGTAATCATCCTGGGAGATATGGGATTCGGTCAGGTTGCTGTAAAATTGGCCGATAGGAGGTAATCGGGTCTCGTCGAACTTAGACCAATCATCCATGTACTCGTATGGGTACACACCCTTCCTCATCAGC